CAGTTTCCCCTCTGACTGACGAAGAACATTCATCATTTCCTCTACCATTTCATGTATTTCTTCTAAGACTCCTTCTCCTCTCTCTCTGATCTCACCCTCTCTCTTTGCTAGACTAGACAGGACCTTTTTGAGTGCTTCCTTCTTTCCCTCAACTGATGATAGACATTCTCTTAACTTTTGACAGTGTTTAGTATAACTGTCAGTGATTAAGTCATACTCATGATGCTTGTGATTACGAAATGGACAGTGAGAACAGATTACTGTATTACACCTTTCACAAAAGAACTCCAAAGGCTTTCCATGATCACTACATGTGGCCTCTTGAGGATTAGGCAAAACTGCTGCTGTCTTCTTCATTAAACTTTGCATCTCTTTGAGGTTGTTGAGAGTGAATGCTACAGGAAAGGCTCCTGCTCCTTCTTCTGGTAACTCTGTACAATGACGACAAGTGGGACAAGAGAGGTAATAGGTCTCATTCTTCTTATCCAGTGGTAATCCCTCCAGACAGTGCTGACAGAATGAGTGATGGCAGGGTAGGATCTTAGGGTTGGTATAGTGTTCAAGACACACAGGACAGGTGAGCTGTTCCTCCAGTTTGAGGAGACCAGAAGAAGAAGGTTGGGCTGCCATTTACAAAGTACATGAAACAAAAACAACAAATAGAGTTAGAAAACAGTAACTGAAGATAGAGCAGAAACTAATGATGAGAGAAATGCAAAAGAACCAATTGGAGAAGAGAAGGCAGTGAATGAGTGAAGAGAGAGAATCTTAATGGCCAGACACTATAACAATGAAGGAGAAAGGCTATCTCATCTAGCAAGACACAAAAAGTGGGTGGTACCTTAAATATATTCAAAGATCTTTTAAAGAAAGCTGCACAATGAATTATGATTTTACCATAGCAACCAGTAGGAAACCAGTGGGCTATAACTATCAGGAAAGTTCATAAATCAGTAAAATAACAAAAGCAAGTGGCTATAGCAAATCCAAAGTAAAGTATAAGTAAACTAAAAGCCTCTGAACAAACTAGTTAAGAGCAGTAAAAGGAACAAAATATCCCTAATTACCTGTTCTAAATAGTACTGTGACTAAATGAAGATATGAAAAATAAATTATTATACTCATTCAACTTAGTAACACTCATGTTAGTCTATCTCACTTTTACTAACAAATACTGATACAATGTGACTAGTAAAATCTATTGCATACTTTTAAGAGACAAAACATGTACATGCATGCATATACTGTATCTCATAGAAAATAAATACTCATGCACGCATTGTCACACCCAGCAATATTGTGACACTGATTATCAAAGCTGTCACCATTGGACCACAATGTTTTAAGAGTATTTTTATAGGACAAAACATCATAATAATGAATGAAAAATCTAATAAACAGCAAGTCGGTCATTATTAAAATCGCAAACATGCAAGAAGCCATCTTTATCAAATGCTAATCCACTAGGACAAATAAACTGCTCTATGTTATTGCCTTTACTTCCAAAACTATTCACAAACACACCATCACTAGTGAAGGCTGAGATACGATGATTGCCATATTCACTAACATACACTAGACCAGTAGCTGCAGTGTCTATTGTTATACCTACAGTTTGTCCAGGATAAGATCCATAAGTACCAAACTGACTCATAAACTTTCCATCTGAAGAGAACTTCTGTATGCGATGATTACCATAGTCAGTAACATACACTAATCCTTGACTGTCAATAGCAATGCTACACGGAGACTGAAACTGTCCATTAGCTGATCCTTGACTACCAAATGAATGAGAGAAGGTTAGATCAGGATTCAAGACTTGAATACGATGATTATATCTATCAGCAATATAAACCTGTCCTGTTATAGGAGAAATGGCTATACCATAAGGACATTTAAATTGTAGTGGTCCACTGCCCTCCTTACCAACTGATGCTATAAGGTATCCATCCATGCTTATCTTCTGGATCCTGTGATTATCAGATACAAGAATGAATTTGTCTGGAGTAATGGCTATACCACGAGGATACGAGAGCTTGACATCACCAGCTCCTCCTTCCCCTCCTAATGATTTGACTTTCTTTCCTTCTCTATCCAGTATTGTTACACAGTGACCATTACACTCAGTTACTATAACACGGTTGCTACTTACAGCAACTCCCCAGGGAAGGCTTAGCTCAGCTACAGTGCACACTGGAGTGATGTTATCAAGGTAAGGATTGAAAGGGATGACTAGTGAGGTATCCTTAAGGTGTACATCATATACTTGTACTTTTACTGTATGAGTACCATGTGTTGAAGGGTTACACTGTATCCTATACACTCTAGGATCAGTGCTGGTGGTAGTGACTGTAGTGTGAATGGGTTGGTCACCTTTACCAACTGGTACTAGACTACACCTCAGAGAAGAGAAGGGAACAGACAAAAGAGTTGAATCTGGCGACTCTATTGATAATGAAAATGAAACTGCTTTGCCAGCAAGTGTAATATGATCAATCTTATTCACTCTACACTGCTGTAGTGCAGTAGATGAGTAGGTCACAATATCTCCAATGTGATGTAGCGATTTGATGTCTTTACTCAATACAAAGTCGGCTTTTTCCTTTGGATGTAACTCCTCCACATTGATCCCTGCAGTAACTTCACTCATACGCTCCATCATCTGTTTCTTAGACTCCAGTACTTGTTGAGGACTGCCTGTCTTCAGACTCTGTCCCACATAATCCTCAACATCCTCCAGAAGACCCAAACTCATTTCTGCTGATTTCATTTGCTCTGACAGCACCTTTAGTTTATCCTCAGTGACCCTCTTTGCCTGCTCAGTCAGTTTCCTCTCTGACTGATAAAGAACTTTTATCATTTCCTCTACCATTTCATGTATTTCTTCTAAGATTCCTTCTCCTCTCTCTTTGATCTCACCCTCTCTCTCTGCTAGAGCAGACAGGACATTTTTGAGTGCTTCCTTCTTTCCCTCAACTGGTAATAGACATTCTCTTAACTTTTGACAGTGTTTAGTATAACTGTCAGTGATTAAGTCATATTCATGATGTTTGTGATTATGAACTAAGCAGTGAGAACAGATCACTGTATCACATGTTTCACAAAAGAACTCCAAAGGCTTTCCATGATCACTACATGTGGCCTCTTGAAGATTAGGCAAAACTGATGTCTTCTTCATTAAACTTTGCATCTCTTTGAGGTTGTTGAGGTGGAATGCTACAGGAAAGGCTCCTGCCCCTTCTTCTGGTAATTCTGTACGATGACGACAAGTGGGACAAAAGAGATCATTCCTCCAATCCAGAGGTAATCCCTCCAGACAGTGCTGACAGAATGAATGATGGCAGGGTAGGATCTTAGGGTTGGTAAAGTGTTCAAGACACACAGGACAGGTGAGCCATTCCTCCAGTTTGAGGAGGACAGGAGAAGAAGATGAAGATGGTTTGGTTGCCATTTTGAGAAAAAAAGTAAAATTGTGCAAGAACTAAAATGAAAAGTTAAAGTCAGAAGACTGTAAATAAAGATAGAGCAAGAACTTAACAACAAACAATAAAAAAGTAAGAAATCAAAATGAATGAAAATGAGAGTAGCCTGGGGAAAAATAGCCCTGATGACCTCTTGGAATATTCTATGGTCTCGTGACTACAGGAAGTTATG